CAGGATAACCCCACCTACAGGAGACAGGATAACCCCGCCCACTCCCAGGATAACCCGCCCACTCCCAGCTGTCCTAGGATGGGTGTCTTCCTTGTTTGGGGCCCTCGCCACATGCACGGTCTCTACAGCTATCTGGATCGGCCTCTCAGCTTGACTATGGAGGCCGGGCCCCGGACCGGCTGTGGGGGGCCCACCCCAGGATGTGACATTTTGGGGCTCTCCGGTCATAGCACCTCCCGGGGCCCGAGCCGTGGCTTTGCCTCAACACTTGTCTGGACGGCTGGAGCCCCGGGAGATGCCTCAGTATGGGGGCCCGCTGATGTCATAGGCTGGGCGGAGTTTTCTGAGCCTTCATCCAATCGGCACACATCCCGCTGCTGATCTCCGCCCCCTCCACAGTGACCTGGTCCCCTCAGCAGCAGCACCTGAGGCCTGGCCTCACACCTCGGCCCTAGCAGTCTCACCTCCCCCTTCCGGGGGCCCATACCCGCCATCCATCACAGCCTCATTCAGCTCCATTAGGTGAGGCCGGGTCCCCTACACTCGCCTCAGGGGCCCCCACTGCAGTCACGGCATAGAGAACGGAGCCGATCGCTCCTGAGTAACAGAGGGGGCGGGGCCAGGATCTGCTCCGTTCAGAAGATTGGGGAAGGTTTCCTGCCGGTGTCACTCTGATAATCCCCCCCATGTGTGCCCCAGGGCCCCCGGACCGCGTTCAGCTCTATTCTAGACTCTGGATACAGCCGACGCGGTTCAGGGCCCCACAGACCTTGTACTCTATCAGGATCTCTGATCTGGTCGCCTCGTCCGGTCAGGCAGCAGAGTAGGGATTGGACGGAGAGGGATCATGTGACACAGTTCACCAGCGTGTATTGCAGGGGGTTCATTCTCAGGTTTCGGTCCCCCCCCCCGTGTTACATACATGTCACGTGTTTTGATTTGAGGTCAGACATGTCTCCATTTCTATGATTGGTCAGGTCGGTGGATCTCCTACTCACTGATTGGCTCAGGGTGACGCCATCAATCCTCAGCGCCGGGACCTGCAGCATGGGGTTCACCCGCTTGTAATCATCGGTCAGCTGGCGGCACAGAAAGGAAAAGGACAGATCATACCATTCCCGGAATCCCCCCCCC